TTAGGATTGAATGAGATTCTACAGAGCTTTTACTAATAAGATATTGTTGTTTTCAAAACAATCTAAGCATTCCTTTTACTAAATGTTAAGTATGATCTGTATGCGTGTATTAAACAGCATTAAAAGAAACATTTAAGAAAAGGACTGTTATATTTTGATTGTTTTGAATGATTATACAATTTCAAAGCACATATTTAAAAAAGTCACATAACATATCCAGTTTATTAATATCTATTATTAAAGGTGTCAATCGTTTATCACTTTTATCTGTCTACACTGCTTATTAAATATTGTAAAAAAAGATTACAATAAAGTTTCATGGAAGAGCTACACAACGAATTTGTAAATGCATACACTGTGTTGGTGCATGCTTCCGCAGGACTACGAGATTGCGAGATCGTTGTAATTAACGAACGAAAAGAATTGTTAAGGCATACCTTAAAACTAAATGACACGAATGCAGATATCTTATTTAAATAACACTTACACTTTAAAGTTAGTCTTTCTTCTTTGGCTTTTTAGGATTGCGTGATCGAGATTTAGCTTTACAAAGGGGACAAATGGGGGCGTTTCTATGAATTTGTTGATGACACGATAAACACGACTTCATGGGTGGCGGTTGTTGCCTGAAAACAGAAAAAGGAAATATAAGGGAAGAACAAGTGTACCATACTATGATCATGTATTTCTGTAATGTATTGTTGTTCCCGTTAATAAGAAATGTTGCAATTGATATCGTGATTCGTGTATTACTGTAAAGTAGAATTAGTATTTGCATGCGTTGTTAGATAAAAATATAATATAAAATTGAGATATACCAGTGGTACCTGAATGTTGCAGCAGGTGGACCTGGTGCTGGGGGTAATGGTCTTGGTTCTGGTTTACTTGGACCTTGAAGAGGTTGAGGGGTAAGGAAAGGTGCGGAACCACCTGGATGACCAGGATGGTGTAAAGTGAGTGGAGGTAATAGATCTTCACCCCGCACTTCTACTCTCCATTCTGCCTTCTGCATAGGACGGTCAAAGTAACTGCGAACAAACCATCTACACCATAAATATCTCTCTCTAACTTTAGGCAATACTGTTCTTCAAAAAATTCATTTATTTTAAGCTTCTAAGATAGCATAACCCCTTAATACATTGACCGCCCACTTAGCAATTACAAAAAGTCGATAAAACCAAAGCAATTTATTTAATGAAACAAATGCTAATATGTTAAGATGTATGACATTAATTACACTCTGACTTTTCTTGCATTATCCAAACGTCATTGATATGGCGGTCAATGTATTAGAAGGGGAAGTCTGGTTTAGAAGAGATTTATATCCCTGAACTTTGTAGGATATTACAATTTTTGATATCATAAATCAAGCTCCTTCATTAAACAATATTTAGGAACTTAATATACTTACTCTGGTGAAATGAGATCAGATTCTGTTTCATACAGCTCTGGTAGCCTTTCCAGTCCTAGGAATTCTCTGCGCATACGGTCAATATCATGCTTCAAGGGTTGATAATCATTATTATGAATCAATTTTGCAGTCTCCCTGGCTTTGTTTCTGGCTTCTTCTGCCTGCTTAATGACTGCTTCCATCTGGAACAGTTACATAAACAATTATATCTTTGATTTCATCAAGTATGTTAGCAGAACTATATCTGATTGTACCGCATTAATGTCAGCATGTATTTGCCGTAATTCCTCCACATGTGCCATTTTCTCTTGCATAAGAAGGTCCATTTCCTGCTTATATTCTAATAGACATTTCTCTTCTTGCTCAGTTTGTTCCACTTCTTGCAAGATTCGTTGTTTCATTTTTTCCAATTGGAGGGTTTTCGATCTAGACAAATACATGTTACGTACAATTATTAAATAATTTTTCCTTGATGTTAAGGTGGTTTTTGCTGCACTATCACAGGATCCAAACGTGCTTTCATGAATTTTTATTGTAGATAGAAATTACTTAAAACATAAAAAAAATCTATGTACTTTGTTCAATGCAATTTGTAATTCTATTAGATCGCGTGAGGGTTAACTCTACAAAGTTTCTGAATAATAAGGATTAAATATTTACTTGATGTCCTTCAAAGCTTCCAACTTTGCGAAAATCACAGTAGTTTCCGTGGCAGACATTCTGGCACGGTTTTCCGATACTTTTGTTTAGGGTACCCCTGTCAAATGGAAGACAACTTGTTTATGAACTTGACTTAGTTTGATCCAGTGATGATATACCGTTCGTCAAGGCATCGTGGATCGAATATTTTCAACAGAACGGAGAAACGGCACTATACAATCATTATTTACATTTAAAACGGAACGAAATGGTCGCGAGCGTAATTATATTACGAAAAATTAATCAAGTCCGTTGACGCGCGACACAATGAACCATCATTATTCATGCCATGAACCATGAGAACCGCAACTTTATAGACGAAAAACGTCATCGCCTCGTCTTCAACGAACGCCCTATGGTGATGCGCTGACGAACTAAAGTAAGGGGCGCAATTTTTCAAAAACAAATGATGTCAAACGCCCCTAATTTATTTGCTGCTTTCCAAATTAAAGTATGTACATAGTATGTAGTATTATGTAAGTATGTAGTAATACTTCTTTATTCATCTCGGACATTTTCTGTTGTCAAAGTCTTTTGCAATAAATTTGTTATCAGTTTGGAATCATTTAAAATGTCTTGTATATAATTTTAATAAACAAATGCAAAAAGCTTTTTTATTGACAACTATTTGAGTCATTGTAATCAATCGTGATTTGACGAAGTTTTGACAACTAATTGACAGATAAAATGATTTGATTAGTAAATCGTAGCACCGACGTAATCTATAATCTTCTCTATACTGATAACTGAGTTTCAAGCAGAGATAATGATCTCTACAAGTAGAAACTTCTGACAAAATTCTTCACGTAAAATTAAAATATTACAACACGTTTCAAACTTTCATACTACAGATAGTACTAATTATTTATTTATTTAAAATCAATACAAATTGTTTAATATCGGAATTAATACTTTTGGAACGAATGCTTAGCGAAAGAATGATTGATCTTCTCCTAAACAAAAGTCAGTCATTAAAAAAGCTTAATGTTATGTTTCAGGTAATTAAACCCAGAATGTAGATTTCACTCCGTCATTTTGTATCCTCTTACCGCATCCTTTATAAAAGAATGCAAACATCCAGCATATGCGTTTCACCGACTAATCGTCGTCATGAGTGAATAAAATCGCAGTCCAATTATCAATGAGCATCTCGTATCAACCGCGAGATATTCAATGAATCCGTAAGCGGAGTGCACGAAGATCCAATAAGGGATTTCTGCAGATCAATATCAACCGCGTTAACAAATCAGTCCTCAATCGTGTAATCGTTTAGCATTATTCATTCTATTTAGCTATCGAAGTGTCGGTTATCAGACCGAGGATATGTTCGTATCGCGACCGATCGAGCCACATATCGGCCGTGTTAATAGAGTGCTCGTAGGCAAGCATGGTAAAGGATTCTCGTCGGCGGATCGTTAGGATTGCAGTCTGTCATCGTTATCGGGTTGGCTGGATCGCGAATGCAATTCGCGGTGTCGAAAAGAGTGATTAATCAGTTCTGATCGCAGTCATGTTGGGCTGTTTATCAGCTCGGTGGCGGGACCACGTGTACCAAATCGACGGTCGTTATCTGTACCGATTTTCAAGGAGGCGGTGAGAGAAGGAAGAGAGAAAGAGAGAGAGAGAGAGAGAGAGGGAGGGAGAGAGAGAGAGAGTGAGAGTGAGAAGGAGGGAGGGACAGAGTGAGAGAAAAAGAGGCAGAAGGAGAGAAACGATGGCCGGTTTTACAAAAGAAGATGAAGTGGAAGAGGAAGGAGGTGTTACCCCTGGGATAGGCAAATGAAAAATCGGCAATCGGTGGTTAGCATCCGATCGCATCGCGTCGCGACGGCCAGTTGTCGGGCTTAGAACTTTAATGATAATCCAGATAAGGTGGAGAACCGTGAAAAACCCGTGGAGACGTCGCGTTGGCCGACGGCGACGACCTCGTCTCTCCCCCAGCTTTTCGTCGTTCGCCGCCCGGTTGCACATCAGTCCTCCTTCTACTTAGCGCGGGAGCAGAAACTTGTGCAGTTCGTGTGACTAAGCACCGACAAACTTTCGAGTGTCGGCGAAGCTCTCCGCGGAGCTGTGAATATAGGACAAAGGAGAGTGGCCCGGAGCCGAGCCGAGTCGTCGACACCGGCTTCAACGGCATCCACGGAGGGGAACATTTTTTCGCTTTAACGGATCCCATCAGTCTCGACTCGCTTCGACTCGCCTCGACTCGCCTCGACTCGCCCTGCGCCAAGAGTGCATTAGAGGAAAAGAGTTTCCTGCACGGCCGCGGCGTCATGGGGTCCAGAATGGGCTCTCGAATGTAAGTAATTCGCAACGACGACTCTTTCCATCGGTTCTAGCTTCCTTGAGCCGCAGTTTCCTCTTCTTGCCGCGCGGATCTCGCCTTCTAACCCTTCGCGGACGAGGATTCTTTCAAGTACTAATATTATACTTTTCTCGGAAAATTAGATTATGTATCAGAGACGAGATGATCGATTCCGCGTCACGAGAACAAGTAAATCGATTGTACGGACCTTTATCCGGTAGCTCTTGATTAGAGAATGCGGCTCTTATATGTAGATCTCTTACAGAAGCCAGCCTTCACGATTTCGAAGTAAATGAATTATCCGAGAAATTCTGCCGTTTGCCAACAAGAACGTGCAAAATTCTGAAGACGTATCGCAAGTAGGTACTTCGATAAAAAATGAGCAGAAAATAATATAATAACATAGAAAACACACCAAATTTTCGGTATACAAATTAGGGGATGCGTGGATTTTCTGAGCAACCTAAGAGGATAAAAAATTGTATTTCTCGTTAGCAGGTTGAAAAAGATCGCTTTAAGGGCAGTGTACTGAACGGTTCCCGCCCTAAATCGTGGGTCGCATAATGCGGCCGTTGTACCATTCGCGCGATGATCGACGCTTGCGTGAATACTTATCAGCCGTCACAAAACGGAGCTCGCTGCGGCCGCGTGTTCCTTTTTATCTCTCTGTCGGTTTTCTCTTTTATAAAACAGACGAGCGCGATACGTGTATACATACATAAGCGGTTAATCGACCACGCGACGCTAATAAAGCGTTGCCCGGACGACTCCCGGGCAAAAAGAATATAACGATTATGCGCCACCGGTTCGTGCGCTGGTCAATGTCTTTATCCCGGCAGCGGCTGCGAGATCGCTCCGATCCGCGACTAACGATCGGGCCGTTCCTTTTTTTTTCTCGACGAGCGATCGCGATACGGTGAATTAGTAATTACAGCGCGCCCGGCGTCCCAGGGGGGGAGGGATGAGTGAATGAACCGGGGCAAGAAAATAATTGGCGAGGATTATGTCGCTGCGCGCCGCGGAATCCCTCCAATGACCGGAGACGATGGCCCAAAGAAAATTCCCGATCGATCGTTCCGCATAACTCCGCGAGCCCTTATCGATCCCGGGAACACCGCCACCGCGTATATTTATTTTATTTATCTGTAATGACCGGACACGGAAGAGCGTTCCGAACACAACCCGCTTTTAAACTTTTAACGACCCTCTAATATTTCACTCGCTTCACCCCCCCCCCCCTTGATCGAGCTGTTTATTTTCATTTTATTTACCTTCCAACATGCCGCGTCACGGACGTGGAAAAACATTAAAAAGCCGTTTCCATTAGTTGCGTGTCGGTTTACGTTCGTTTCCGGTGTCGTCCACTTAACATGGCAATAAACAAAGATTTTATTCGCGATTCGGCTGTGGCGCGTTGTTCATCGGCGTTGTCGAACGTTACGGAGCAATTACATACTGCGGAGGCTGTTCATGTTCGTTAGAGCCTTGATGATGGCGTAAAGCGTTCGGTAGATGCCAGTGACAACCATAACGAGCATAAGAACGTAACAACGCTGGTTGGTGTCGCAATGAAACACAGATGCGCGGAAAATATATTGGCGAGGATTAGTCTTTGTTCAATTATCGGAATTGTGTAATTCCAATAATTGTGCAAGTCCGTACTATTCTGTGCACCTAATGATGTTATTACGTTCATGATGATTGCTATCGTATTACAAAAGATTGTAAATCCTTCTCTAAGAGCTTCTATATCTAGTATTCGAATTGTCCACTGCGAATAGGGATGAATAAGAATAAATATCGGAACACAAGAATCATTCTAAAATTGAAGTGCCATAAAAA